AGGAACACCACCGGGGCAACACGGAACTTAGACTGTCTCATGAGTTATGAAAATTTTCCAGGTCCCAAAATCTAATCAAGCACAAGTAAAATTTTAGAAGGGAGATAATAAAATGTGCTTATTTTCTCCAGTCACGATTTATTCTGTTTTACTAAAAACATCCACTTGCTTTGTGTTGTTCCTACAGAGAACAATATAGCTCTAAGTTAATCCATGTGAAACTGCCAATATTCAACTGTATTTGATCTGCAAACCTGGCAAATACACAGTTCAGCCTAATCACAAGTGAAGCTAGAACGGTGAATAAGAAAAGGACTCATTGGTAATAGCATAGCTAAATAACACAGGTCTGAATGGCACGTAGCGCTATTTGAAGACTAAGTTATAAGCAAATGTAACAAAATAGGTGAAAAAATGAATCATGCATAATAAAAATTATTTTCATTTGGGATATCATAAAAGAGTTCTTCATGAGAAGGACACTTCGGAATTCTATTAATTATCTGAGCTATACTCTAAATATTAAAGTTCAAAAAAAAGAGTCCTCCCCTCCTAGACCCCCACCCGCCCTCAAATTTTCCACCATTAAGGGAGAGAAAAGTTGTCAACTAAGCTCTTCTTGGTTATTTATGAAGTCAACTTTGAATACTAACCTTTCTCTTTTATCCTTCATCAGTTACTGCCCACAAGTTACGAATGAATCCTAATTTAACAGATTACAATTACAATCCTAATTTAACAGAAAGTGGAATCAGACAAAAGTAAGTTAGAGTATTATCTAGTGAAAACAATACAGCCCTAGCATGGATAGCAGAATGCAGGCCCCTAAAATCTGCATTACTGGGTTGGGAATTAAAGAGCTGGAAAGGACACTAAAGCACTTGAGAAAACAACAAGAGAAGGACTGTTCTATGTTTTGCATTAATATAAAAGAAAGCAGAGTGATTTAGAGAACTCTGAAATTGAGAAAAAATAAAATTGTCACAGTAAAGAAGAGGAAGACACAGAATCGAATAGCACATGTTTAAACACAGGGACAGCATGGTTTGCTGCTGACACCCTGACAGTAGCAAAGAGGTTGCTGCCACCAATCGCTATCTCAATACATCAAACAGGTGTCCATATAGTTACCCTTTATAAACATTTTGCAGGTATTATCCATCAAGGACATGGAATTGGTAGTCAGAAGACATGAGTACTCTCCTTGTCTCTGATAATTATCTGTAGTTTTTACACTGAAGTCTCTGAAATGTGGATTCTCAGATTGTTTATTTGGAATATTTGGGTGTTAATATCTGCCTTTCCTACTACACAAATATATCAAATAACCAGCGAAAGTATGGAAATATAACTGGAAATTCTTATATTTGCTATTATTACTGGAGATATTACTTGTTTTTAATAACAAAATCCATAAAAACTTAATTTCTAACATACTCACCTTACCTGTATTGTTAGTACAAAAGTGAAATAAATATCTGAAATTTGGATTCATTAATTATTCAGTTTTCATTATCTTCTATCAGAGTTTTTTTCTGAATGGCCCATTCATTCATTCAACATAGAGCAACTGTGCACTCAGTATGTTCCCAGCACTGTACTCACTGTACTAGGTGTTGGTGCTACAGCTGTAAATATCTTACCTACCTCATGTACCCTGAAATCTAACAAGGAGGAAAGAAATTAGACCACCAACCGGAGAGATATAGATACATTTACCAAAAGCGACTGGAGCACATGAAGTCAGACTGTAGACTTCCATGAGAATTCATAATGAGAAAATAAATTTAAACTGAGGGCCTGCGAAGTGCCACTGAAACTAAGATCTGAATGATGAGAAGCCAACACAGTTGAAAGCACAGGGAAGGAGCATTTGAAGCAGAGGAGCCGCAGACGCAGAGGCTCTGAGCCCACAGAAAGCTTAGTGCAGTCGGCAGCGGACAGGTAGCAGGTGACGTGGGGGATGGTGGCAAGAGGTGAGATCGAAGAACTATTCAGGGACAAGGTCACTCAGGCCTTGCTGGGAGTCTGAATGTTAATTTAACAGCAAAGGAAAGCCACTGAAAGTACTGAACAGGAATATAAGTCTATCAGATCTGCATTTTTTAAAGGTAACTTGAGCTGCAGTGTGGAGAATAATGTAGTAAGCTATGAGTAGGGACAGAATGACCTAAAATTAGAAAGCAATCTTAGTGATCTGGGTGAAACCAGGTTTGGATTAAGTTGGTGAGTAGAGGTAAAGAGAACAGAAATCATGTAAAGTATAATTTGGGGTTAAAGTACACAATTTGGAGATTCATTGGACATGGAGGGCAAAGGGAGACAGATGAGTCATGGATTCAGGTTCAGGCATAAGAACCTGGGTGTCCCCTTCTTATTCTTAATCTTGAGAGATGCCACTGAAGGCCCAGACGGCATTAGAGCATAAGAAATTTATTTTTCAGACTCAGGGCTTTGGGAAACCAACCTAGTGTCTTAAGTGCATCTTAAGCATGTTTGGAGAATTGACTTTGCGTCACTTTGGGAATCAATCTGAATACAGTACGGAACAAAGACTGGCGAGGTCAAGACTGGAGACAAGTAGCTCATTTAGGAGGCGCTTAATGTAGGTTAACCTGGAGGGAGAGATGGACGGATTCGCAACCTGTTTAGAAGGCAGAGTCAGGTTTGAGTCAATGGGTGGCTATTGGTATGATTTTATTAGGTAGAACACAACGGAAAAGGAGCAGATATTTCCTAGAGGAGAAGAGAGGATGACAATCCCATCTCAGATCGCTGTTTTGAGTGCTCACAGGCCCAGTGCAGAGAGGTGACCTACGGAGGTGGCACCAGAAGCTGAAGCTCCTCAGATCTTGGTTGAGCGTATAGATTTGGAAGTTATTGGCCAGTGTGCAAATGCTAGTGTGAACCGTGCACGTGGATAAAGGCTCAGAGAGAGCTTGGGAGTAGGATAAGAGGTCTAGAACCAACCTGCAGACAACGTTAACCTCAGGGGAGGGCAAGAAAGAGAGGAGCACGGAAAGACACCTGGGAACCAGGAGACATGGCAGTGTCAAGAAGGGCCTGTGGCCACCTGTGCAGGGGAGCAGGGCTCTGGGAGCACCCCACACCCACGCCCCACTCTAGACGTGGAAGTGAAGAAAAGGCATATACTAAGCCAGGAATATGTGGAAACGCACAATGTTTGAAGGGGTAATGAGAATATCATTGTAAATGGGGTATAGAAGAGTAGATAAGATAAAACTCAGAAGAGATGCTGCCCGTAAGTGACACCATATGCAATGATAAAGTTTGAGAATACAAAAAGGGCATTGGGGAAAAAAATAAAAATGCTAAAACCTTCATTAGTAACATAAACCATACATAATATAATAACCATATATTATTAACCATATAATAATATTACTGTCAGCAACAAAAATAAAATCACTGTACTTGAATGATTATTCTTCTAAGGATAGGAAGACAATGTAAAGACCCATTCTTTCTAAAGAATTACTTTGAGTTGGTTAGTAGTGGTGATGTATTATTTGTCTGCATGTTCGGCTTTTCTTTTTCTTTTTTCCCAATATTCCCTTATGCCCAACAGCATATGTTTACAGAAGCTCACGGTGCCAGCAGATTCCACGACAGCTGCACTGCCCACTGGCCCTCCCTGGGACCAGGCACGGAGCTTTGATCTTCTGGGTACTGACCTTCAGCCCAAGGAACTGGAGTAGTATCTCCTCATGAAGGAACATCGAGCTAATGGCAAATCGCCATCAAAGAGCATGTTCTGCTTTGAAGTCAGCAAACCTGAAGTTGTTTCAGAGTAATGAGAGGAGAAGCTAATTTCATAGCATCAAAGAGAAATTCTAAGTATCAGACATCTTAGCCACTGAAACGCAGAGCCCAGTGACAGATCCCAGAGAGCGCGGTGGCGGGAGGAAGAGAACAATGGAGGGAGAGGAGTTTGATGGTGAAGCAGCACCATGACATTCAGCCCCACGGAAATGCCAACGCTGGAAAACAGAGGCAGAGCTCGGGAATCAGTGGGGCTGTACAGGGGTTAAAGAATTACATGTAAAGAACAGTAGCTGAGACATTAGATGCTGCATAGATGGCAGATATTATGATTACGCTTTGGAAAATTAATGTTCTGCAAAACTAATGCTGTGACCAGGTGGAGAACGGGGGTGGCTGTGTGTAAACAGTGTGAGATGAAAGTCCAACTTGACCCAAATCTAAGCCACTTAAGGCATTTCCATCCAGTCTATTCTTTGAATTGTTCTCCAGTTCTATACAGGATATTTTAAGTTTTGTTCCATTTAGACAATAATTTAAGATATTTTGATAATCATGTAAAGAAATAATACAAGTGTGTTCTGGATCATCAAATTACAACTGTATATGTACTGCCATACAATTTCATTACTTGCTTTTTGTGTTTCTGTTATATTCATGTCGGCACCATTCTTTCTACTTTTATTACAGCTAATAGATGAGATAATAAGCTGACTTAATACATAAACATAAGTTCCCACCACATGAAGGGAAGTGAAGCACGGCATGCTGTACTGTAGGTGTCATGGTCATGTTAGCAGAGAAAAGCAGGAAGAACTGAGTCGTCGTGAGAAATCAACCCCAGCATCACTTAGTATTCCCTACTGAGCATCATCTCAGCTTCAGAAAAACAGTATCTGTGTTGTTAGTTTCAACTCTATCGGGTTTATGAAATATCTACTATGTTGCAAGCACTTTGCTAAACTCTGGAAATCTAAAGACAGATATGTTTCAGTTCAGGTCCATCTCTAAATTCAGCTATACAAAACAATAACTAAAGTCCACATTGTCATTGGTAGACCCCAAAAGCTTTCCAAAAAATCAGTCTACTTGCACAGTTATTTAAAAAGCCAGAAAAAGTCAAGTTCAACAACTCATGCCAGCGTTGGCTTTTACAGTTTGGCTCTTCCAACATCTCAGCCGACAGAGACTTCCCACGGGGAATCAGCACCACTTACTGTATGCACACCCGAACACTTCCGTCCGCATCCCAATTCTGCCCTTGGGGTTCCAGGCTACAGGGAGGAAGCGCAGGAACCTGGCTTCGATGGGAGGCTGGAGTCTACAGTGCACCACGCTGTCTGCATTTGTGTTTCCCGGAAATCCCTGGGAGAGAACAGAGAAAGGGATCAATGTGTCTGCAGAATATAATCTCCACTTCATTAGCTCCGATGCCAATGAGCGGCGCATGCTCACTTTGTCGATGTGTAAACAGCTATATTCGTAAAAGAAACACGGCTAATCTTTAACAACAACGTGAGGGCCTCTTTCAGCCCCTGGATTAGTCGCCATTGCATGAGTTTCCTTTGTTTACAGGGCATTTTCAATTTCACCAGCACCATTAGAATGTCCACAAGCATGATGGCCTCCACGAAGTTTGCTCGTCTAAAGTGCTCACCCTGCACATCTTCCCTCCCCGGTCGCCGGCAGTGAGGGGGCTCCCGTGAAACCACGGCGCCGTGCGGCAGGGCGTCGAGCGTGGCGGTGACGGCGGTGACGTGCTCGGGACCTCCCAGAAGGGCCCTGGGACCGGAACTAGAGAGCTGGCAGGGACCGGACGTCACCCCGGCCCTGTACCCTTAACCCGCACGCGAGAAGCTACAGTCCAGGGAGAAGAGAGACTTTCTGGAGGGGCCGCCACCCTGCGCCGTGGCACGATTGCGTCTGGCTGGTGTTTCAGTCCCGGTGGGCTCTCTCCGTTCTTGGGGAACCCTTCACAGGGAACACAGCTCCGGGCGGGACTCGGTCCCTGCCGTCCCCAGGAGCTGCAGTTCCTGCGGCAGACTCTGAATCCCATTACCTAGGTTCTGACTCAGGTTTAGAATCTGAGACAAAACAGTTAAACAGCTAACCTAGGAACTTCAGCTCCTGTGGACATTTTGACTCCAACATTAAAATTCAGATTGAAGAATTAAAATCCATTTTGTCTGTAGCTAACAAAATTTTTTAGACCTCAGTACAAAATAATACAATAAAAATCTTTCAAATAAACCCTCTCTAATCAGAATTGTCTTACTGTCTTTATATATCTAACTTTCTGGAGGGGCCGCCACCCAGCGCTGCGGCACGATTGCGTCCGGCTGGTGTTTCAGTCCCGGTGGGCTCTCTCCGTTCTCGGGGAACCCTTCGCAGGGAACGCAGCTCCGGGCGGGGCTCGGTCCCTGCCGTCCCCAGGAGCTGCAGTTCCTGCGGCAGCTTCTGGGCGCTGCCTTTATCTGCTCCAGGACCAGGGGGCGCTTGGGCGTCTGGGCACCAGGAGGGATGAGCGAGAACAACGTTTCGCTAAATAATTTATGTCTCTGTTTTCAGATTGTTTAGAACATAGCTCGTGCAGGAAGAAGAAAAGCGTCGGCGCTCCTGTACATACCAATTTATGTTTGATCGTTTGCCAGTGACTTGTTCAGTGCATAAGGTAGAAATCATAATCACACCATTCACAGGGAAGTGAAAACTAAGAAAAGTTAACACTCAACACCCAGTCCATTCCTTACAGTTTTTCTGTTGTCTGACTTTGCAAAACTCCTTGTCCGAGTGTTTGGCAAAGTAGTCTGTGGATTTTACATGAAAGAGAAAGTGCGTGGGCAGGATGAGGGGTTCCCCGAGCCACAGCTTCCCTGTGGCTGAAGATTTAAATCAGACTTCTTACAGTTGATCCTGCAGTTAAAGCTACTTACCAAGAAAGCCAAAGACAGAGACACTTTGTTTTAGAATAATGAAATTAGGGAGTAAAAAGTATACTTTCTGATACTCTTGCACTAGAATGGCTGTCCCCTTGTGTGCCTGGGGCAGGTAGAAATGTACGCTGAAGCCAGTTAGTTCAACTAACAACCGAGAATGTTACTTACCTAATTATTTTTGCTTTACCAAAGAATGTGTCAGACTTAACAAAACAACAAAATGAATAAAGATCAGTGTGCTTAGTCCCAGACCACTGGTGGGCCTCCCTTGGTATAAATAAATGGAAATAAAAATATGGAAAGTGCCTTAGTGAATGTGGTCCATTTTGATGCTAGTGTGTATGTCAGTCTTGGCGATAGTTCATCTACTGCTAGTTAATGCCATTCTGAGATACTTATTTTATTCTTGTTCAACTAAAGTATCATCTTCATCAATATCATTTTTCATGCCATTTCAAGTGAAATCACTATGCCAACTTCAAGTGAAATATGTGTTTCCCCTCTGCACCCTGAAGGGGAAATTAAGAATGTCTACCCAGAACCTTTCATCCGGACACCTGAGGCTGACCTGGGTAAAAGAAGCATACCCAGTCCACCCCTTCAAATTTCTTTAGCTGTTACTCTCTGCTGCGAGCTGCAGTTTCTCCATCCATGAAACCTAGGACTGAAGGTTGGGGTGATGACTGAGACAATACATGGAAAGCATCCGCCCACCACCTGCTTAGAGGTGGCCCCTGCGATTGTGCCGGAAGCTGGTGACGTTTTGGTCATTGTTGGCATGGTTGGCAGAGACGGTTCTTCCACCAGACTCTGAATCCCATTACCTAGGTTCTGACTCGGGTTTAGTATCTGAGACAAAACAGTTAAACAGGCCGGGCGCGGTGGCTCACGCCTGTAATCCTAGCTCTTGGGAGGCCGAGGCGGGCGGATTGCTCAAGGTCAGGAGTTCAAAACCCAAACCAGACTGAGCAAGGCGAGACCCCGCGCTACTATATAATAAGATAAGAATTAATTGGCGCAGGCTGATATATAGGTATATTAAAAAAATTAGCCGGGCATTGGTGGCTCATGCCTGTACGTCCCCAGCTACTCGGGACCGGGCTGAGGCAGCAGGGTTGGTCGAGCCCAGGAGATTGAGGTTGCTCGTGATCTAGGGCTGACGCCCAACGGCACCTCAGCTCTAGCACTGGGACAACAAGATGCGCAGGACCTGGCTGTCTCAAACCAATAAAAAAAAAAAAAAGAAACCAAAAAACAACCGTTAAACAGCTCTAACCTAAGGCATCAGCCCCTGTGCGCTTTTGCACTCCACACCTAAAACTCAGTTGACAGAATTAAAATCCATTTCTGTCTTATGCTACCCAATTTTTTTAGACCATCAGCTAACAAATAATACAAAAAACATTTTCCAATCCCAATCCGTTGCTACTGTCTTTCATTTTCAATTTATTTCATTCCTTAATTTACTTTTCAACGTACATACTCTGGAAAATATAGTTTTTGATTGAATTGACCTACGGCATCATGCAGCAAAAACGAATTTAATGCTCTCATTTTTATTATAATGGAATTAAAAGATGTACAATTTAAAGAAATGTTAAATTTAGGATATAATTAGTTGTATGCACTCGGGCACGACTGAGGGACACTAGCTGGAGATCTGAATATGAAGCTCAAGACGTTTTATCACCATGTGAGTCTATAAATATATTCAAATGTGCTCGAGTATACGTATTGAATACAGCGTCTGCCCATATTAATTATTTTGAGTTTGGAGCACATGACCATCTTACATTATCTTACTGTAGCAATTCTCGACCAGTTTCCTAGGATGGACAAACCCATACATGAAGAACATTATTCTTTAAAATACTACGACAATTTACCGAAACACACATTTTGGAAAGGGAAGATTTATATCACGCATTTCACTGACATATCAATCTCAGTGCTTATTCTCGAATGCATAACTCTTATATAGTTTCACTGACCATAACATTCGCGCTTCTACTGAGAACCTTATATATTACAGTAAAAAAATCGTCGTCCTTAAAAATATGCATTGTAGTTTTTTGTTCATTATAATTCAGAGAGTGGCTTGGAGAGCTTTGTCAGAAACAGACATGGAATTTATCAGGTGAGGCACATATACGACTGACAACCTCACACAACAAGATGACCAACCACAAAGACCTGTTCCTGCTCCGTTTTGTTAATGCGAAACACAAAATCTGAGGGACAATAAATAAGGTTCTCCAACGAGAATAGGCGACCAGCACCCTTTGTGGCAAATGTAGCGGCCTTCAACCAGTTCTACCAGGCTTCAACTTCTTCATTTTAGAATACCAGTAGACAAGCATAGCTCCTGGTTTGATACAGTGTAAGGTGCTAGAATCATTTTGGAGAACCACAGTCCTCAGATTCTTGCTGTCTTCATAGCACAGTCTAAATCTCTGCGCAAGACAATCATCATTTTTCCTTTTTGAAGCGTTGAAAAAATATATACCTGAACAGTCTGGGATAAATTGAACTAGTAATGCTCACATGTACGCGGAAAATTTGTAAGATTACTACAATACGGCATTTTCTTTATACGCATTCTTGCTGCTATTTGTGTGTGTGTGGTGTTGTGTCTTATAAAAATCTCCCTCTTATTCGAGAAGCCAAGCAATACATTTCAAGTTCCGATGTGATTTTCTGATCTTTGCGGGCCCTTACCAACTGGGAGGTCTTTATCAACAATCTGAATCACTTGTAAGATCAAATGATCAGTTTCCATCAACATGAAAGTGAACGTAACACTCTGTGGCTTGGCGTCCACTGACCATGTAAAGTATGTTTTCTCAAACCATTACTCACAATATTTCCTAACCGCCAAAGCTTTGAGTTTTTGCGAGTGACACTGGTCAAATCTCCCAAAATCAGCAGGCGCAACCATGAGTCAGTGATCGTGAACATGTGATGAATCCTGGGTTTTTCCTGCATAATGTTCAAAGCTCATCGATGCCCTGGGTTGAGTACAAATACCTCAGAGTATCACCAGCCATAAGCAGGAACCTTTAGCTGTAATTGTAAGGATTCATTCACAAATTATTTTTAAGAAGCCTCTTAGAGATTTGTAATTTGCAACATTTCTGTCTTAATGGATTGTTTATCCGCCATCAATCTTTTATTTTATAATTATGAGTTATAGAAATGAAGGTCTGAATTTTAAAAGTAGGCTATTAAGATCTCACACAACGCGGAGTGCCTACCCCCGTTGCCACGGTGCAATTTCACACATTATGTGTCGGAGTGCTGCCACAAAGGGCTGGGAAGCGCTTGCATAAAGGAAGTCCATTCTTTCAGACAACTCGCAGTTTGCATTAGCAGCCTTCCCCCCAAACCCTGCGAATGTACTAAAAGAGATTCTGATTCAATACACTCGTT